AATGACATGTACTTACGAAATGTACCAACAAGCAATGATACCAGTATACGATGAAATCAACACCCAGATAACCATCATTGTATAGCTCATATTCTTAATATTGCTATAAAATATAATATAAAATATCAAAATATAGTAATTAATAAAGTCTGGCAATTTGTAAATAAGATTCAAAAATCTTCAATTTTAAATGAAAAACTTTAGAATTTCTGTATATTAAATCATAAAAAATATAATAAGTTAATAATTGATATACCTACATGATAGAATAGCACTTACTATATGCTTGCCTGATTCAAAAAAATACAAAATAAATTTAATTTTCTTAAAACTGTATATCAAGATCTTGAAAACAGTTATCCTACAAAAAAAGAGTAGAATAGCATTGATAATATGATTTATTTACTTGAACCAATACTTGATGCAACTGAAATACTCTCAAAAAGTTCATATCTAACTATTGCAGATATTCGTTTAACTTTATAGGTATCTTGCAATGCATCAACAATTTTATAAATAATAATTTATATTCAAAGGAGGAATACACAATAGCAAATTCTATTAATGATACGTTAAACAAATATTGGAAAATTCTTGATCTTAACAACTCATCAAAAATAGCTACAATTCTTGATCCAACATTTAAATTATTAATATTCTGATTTTCTAATGAGAAAGAGGCTGCTATTATGTATTTGAAAAATATAATAACTCTATATAAACCTTTAGTTTTAATGACAAGTAGTACTTCTACATCATTAATTAATAAAAGAAAAAAATTTATATCATTGATATCACAGCAACAAATAATTGAACCACTAACAATAAGATTACTAGTAATAGAAGAATTAGAAACTTACTTGTCTTTACCAATTATTGAAAGTGGTTCTCTTCAGTAGTAGGCTGATCATAAAAATATATTTCCAATACTTGCAAAAATAGCACAAGATTATCTTGCAATTTAAGGAACAAGTATTTCTTGTGAAGAGGTTTTTTCTATTGCATCAATAACAATTTCAAAGCTTTATAATTGTCTCGATCCTGAAACTGCTTGTGCATTACTCTGTTTAAAATACTGGATGAAAAATGATGTTGGAATATATAAAAACAAAATACTAGTAAATTTAAATATAGTAAAAACTAATAGATAATTTTAATATATATAGTGTTATTAAATAGTTTATTATTTTATTATTTTATTATTTTGATATTGTATTATTATTATTAGTTATTATTTTATTATTTTATTACTATTATTAAAGCAGAATTTAAAAATTATATATAATGTTTAACAATTAATGATTAGTAATTACTTATATAACTTTAAACTCTAAACAAAGTTTAGAATTATATATTTGGCTACTTATATATAAAGTTTATTTTATATTTATTAAAAAAAGTTTATTTTATACTTTAAACTAAATATTAAAATCTTTGATTTGCTTATAAATAAACTTTTTATATTTTTAATAATTTTAATAAGAACTATATAAAAGTTAAATTTACAATTAATCATTAAATTTTGTAAAAATTATTATTAATATTTTAATAACTTAATAAAATCTTTACTAAATTTTTTATAATTTTTGTTACTTTTGTAATTTATCTTGATAAACATTTTTCTTAATATATTATAATTAGTATACTTATGATATAAATACTCTAAAGATATCTAAAATCATTATTATTTAATGAATAAGTACAAATTTGTAAAAAAATTCATAAATTAATAGTTACAATAAAGATTTACAAAGTTATATATCTTTTTTTACAAATTTGTACTTAGTTATTAAAGAATAATAATTTATAAATTAGAGAATACAAATGTGGATAGCTTTGACATCTAATTGATACTATTATAGTATTATTTCTTAAAAAATATATATATAATGATTAAATAAGATTATATTAGTAGATTTAGATATATTTAAAAAATTTTAAATAGGATTTTATTATAATAAACATATATATAAAATATAGGAAAAATCTAATCTTACACGTAATATATATACATGAGTATTAATTATTGATTTGCAAATTTGTGTAATGTGCAAATCAAAATAATTTCGATAGAACAAAAGTTAGAAGTTGCCTAAGGTTAGGGTAAGAGTGAATTTGGATAGAGGTGGAAAATAGTTTATACCAAAATTTCATAAAGAATTTTTTTTGTTAGAAGCCAAATGGTAGTTTCATAATCAAAATTTTGAGATATCAGTATATACCTGTGTACAAACACCTGTATATAATTAGAAATTGCCTAAAATATAAATATTTAGTATATTATTTTAGAAATTTTATAAAGATCATCTCAGATGATTTTATTAAATATCATCCATAGCATCTATATCAGTTATACAAATCAGATCAGCATATAAGTATTATTTTTTTTGTTTATATTATTTTTTTTTTTCGCTACTTAGTTTCCTTTATTTTCTTTTTTTATAGAGCTGCGTCATGTCATTGGTTAATTATATAAGTATTGAATTTTCTTTATTCTTGTTACTTTTACTTTTTTCTTTTATTCACCAGTCTTTTTCATTGTTAGGTTGTCTTTTTGTCATTTGCCGGTGTAATTACATTTATTGTATACTGGTGTTGCTGCTTATAAGTATTGGTTTTCTTTTGTTCTTGTTACTTTCTTTTTACTAACTGGTTTTTTTTAAATTTATATGTCACATTGTTATTTTGTCATTTGTTGATGGTTATCTGGGTGTTGATTTCATCGTATACTGGTATCATTGCTTGTTGGTACATTTCGTAAGTACATGTCATT